CTCATTTCACGAGGAGTAACGGTAGTTCGAACTAGGAAACCTAGTTCGAACTACCTAGTTCGTGCCCCGTGTAGCCGCACTGCACGGGGTTCGAACCAGCAGGGTTTTAAAAATGGCGGCTCCCCGCTTATGCAAATGAAGCCCGGGAAATTCAAATCCTGGGCTTCATTTGCAAGTGCGGTATGCCTACATTACCCTGCTAGTTCGAACTAGCGGGGTAGTGTAGACATACCCTTAGAGACATTTAGGAGTAACTTAGAGCGAAATAACATCACAGAACATGGAGAGCCAGAACTGATGGCTGTAAACAAACTTTATGGGATTACAGGAAACTTGGCCACACCCATGATAAGTAGACATCCAGCTAAGTAAATCATGACAGACCATGGATATTGCTGGATCAGAGAGTGCCTGATTAGAGAGGCTCAACCTGTACCAGCTGAGACAAACAGGCAAAAGGGTTATTAATTGTGAACAAATTGACCAAAAGATCGCCTTAAAAACTAACTGAAATTTAAACACCTAATTTAAATATGAGCAAAGAATGAATGGCAAGAACTGTGGACAAACTAACAAATGAGAAAAAAAACATTCCAAGAATGCCTAATAGTTGACAATGTTGATATAATCTAAGTACCTGAGAGGTGAAGTGGTTTTTTTCAGAATTCTAATAGGGCATCTAGCACTATGGGATAGGTGTTCTCAGTATTGAAATAAACAACCAAACTTGCAACAATGGCAAAAACCCATGCATACCGTAAATCCATCTGACATGCTGAAGTGTACAGATATTCGAAAGGGAAACTCACACGATTCCTGGGAACACTGCAATTCAATAACTACAAATTCTTTGCCTTTCTCAATATTAATCTGAAAAAAAAAAACCATTTTAATTTCAATACATTTCCAGTTCATATTTTCTTTAATGTTTTCTTCAGCTGTTTGTTGTCATACTTTCCAATATCCTCCACAAACTTTTCATTGTTATAGGGAACAATCACGGTTTACTGCTATGAAAGCATTAATGGAATGAATAGTAATTATTTATTATTTTCATTCCTGCAGCATCCAGAAGCTCTAGTCAGTATCAGAGATCTGAAAGTCTTCTGCATTTTTAAATGAAAGCTTACTCTATTTAAATTACATTTAATATATTTATAGCAAACCTTTGTTACCTGTATAAACTGCCCAAAGACTAGATATATTATTGTACTGTATTATTACCTTGTGGGTTTCTATAAAAATTAGTTTGTTTGAAGCAGAGTTAGGCACTGAAAGAAGCACTACTTTATATTGGTATGTCAATATTGTTCTTTGTTTCTGTGACCATGATGGCATAATAATTTGTAAAAGTAAAGAATTAAGTAATGCATACAAAACTGCAAACCATTTTTTGATCCTACTGCATTCTACTAACATAAGAGATGTCACTAAAGATGCTTACTTTTTCAAGGACATCATATTTTGCAACTTCAAAATCTTGTGGAAAATAAGGAGTATCTCGATCATTTTCTGTATAAAATCTGAAATCAGAATAATTGAAATTGTCAAACTTTTAAAAATAAATCATATAAATCGGTATTTTTATAAGGTTGCACCATCACATTAAGTGCCAGCCTCACACTTATACAATGTAAGTCTATTTTTTCAGAGCTCAGAAAAATAAAAAACTTATTCTGAACAAGTAAAAATCACTGTCATAAAAGTTGCACTAAAAGTTGATTTAACTGCCTGGCCCACTATTTTGCTAAATGGCTTCTATGGTTTTGACCACCCAGTTGCATTTTAGCATTCCTCAATATTAGTGGTTCTCAAATTTTTTGGTCCGTGGACCACCTGGCTCCGTATAAACTTTTACATGGGCCACCAGTTGCTAATGGAAACTCACCGTTAATTACATAATTACAGTAGACTTCCGATAATCTGGCACCTTTTGGACCTAGGTGGTGCCGGATTATCAGATTTGCCCGAGAATCAAGAGGTCTGGTACAGCTGCATGGCTTAACAGCTGGCCCGGACACAATCTCCCTCCCTCTCCCCTCCCCTTTCCTCTTTGCAGCTCCTCCCTGCCGTAATCTGATCCTCCTCCTCCTCCCCTCCCCTTTCCCCTTCACTGAAGCAAAATGCTCTTCTCCATACTGTAACACGATCCCACTCCCTTTCTCCCTCCCCCAATCTTATGCTCCCTCTGGTTACAGCCAGCCATGTGCTGAGCAGCAGGCTTTTTAATCAGCTGGTCAGGAGCGCTTGGCATTTTGATGCCAGAGAGAACGGTTTAATTTAAATTATTAAACAGATCGATCGTTTTAACTTTCTCATGTTAGTTTATCAAAACTAATTTTAAATAAAGTAAAAATATTAATTTATGTTCAACACAAAAGATTTCAATGTTTTCTTTATGGCAGGGGTGGGGAACCTTTTTTGGGTTGGGGGCCACTAACACACCAAAAAATCAGTTGGGGACCACACAAGTGAGAAGCAAAAGAACTCCCAAAACCTTCAACCCTCACTGATGTGGCCCCCAATTGAGACACCTCACTCCTCTGGCCAGGGCCGGCTTTAACAAGTGTGGGGCCCGATTCCAGGGGCGGGGTCTGTGCATGCGCCACGCGCCCGGGGCCCTGCGCATGCGCCGTGTGCCCCGGGGAGGGGGCACTGCGCATGCATCGCGCAGCCGTAAGCGGGGCCCTCTTAGGCGCGGGGCCCTATTCCAGGGAATCGGCTGAATCGGCCTAAAGCCGGCCCTGCCTCTGGTGCTCCAGTTCCACTGGGCAAGGGGAAGGGACAGGGAGAACTGAGGTTCAGGGCTTCCCATAGGCCAGATTTACTTTTCTGGGGTTCTGGAGTTAGTAGATTTTATGAACCCTAAACTCTGGGTGTCTGGAGTTAGTAGATTTTATGAACCCTCTTAGGCTCTGGGTGAGGACAAAAAGAGAGGTTCAGTGTGTGGGACAGAGCTGCCAGTGAGTGGGATAGTCATGGGGGGGATCTGAGAGGGAGGTGGGGTTCAGAAGGGAGAGGGGTTGTGAGGTCTGGGTGGGAGGTAGGGTGCAGAAGCAGACTGGGAGTAGGATGTCGGGCAGGGGGAGGGAGCAGGAGCAATGGTGGATGCAGGAGTAGGGTGGGGGTAGGTGTCTAGCCAGAGGTGAGGGTGCAGGTGCAAGGAAGAGTGCAGGAGCAGGCTGGGGTAGGGTTTCTGGCCAGGAGGGAGGGTGTCTGGCCAGAAGGCGGGGTGGGTGCAGGAGCAAGGGAGGGTGTTGGAGCAAGCTAGGTCTGTGTGGTCTTGGGAAGAGGGAGGGAGGAGAGTGAGGGGGATTGAGGTGCGCGGGTCTGGGCATGAGGGGGGACACTTACCTGGCTTCATGCCCCCTTGCAGTGGGGAAAGCCTCACTGTGCTGCCATTCCCCCAGCAGGGTGAGGAGGGAGCTTAGCCCCACCCACCCCCACGCAGCAGGGAGCCCTGCAGCACCAGCTTGGCTTCCCACTTGGAGGGTGTGTGGGGGCAGGGGCAGGAGAGGTGAAGAAAGCCCATTGAAAAATCAGAACTGTATTCAGACAAGAAGTTTGTGTAAAGCCTCCATGCACAAGCCTGCTGCCAGATTTCCAGAGTTAGGATACGTCTACACTACAGTGCTAATTCGAACTAACTTAGTTCGAATTACTTAATTCGAACTAAGCTAATTCGAACTAGCGCATCTAGACTTAAAAACTAGTTCGAATTAGCGTTTTGCTAATTCGAACTAGCAAGTCCACATTGAGTGGACTCTGAACAGGGCTTAAGGATGGCCGGAAGCAGTGCCGGCAGGACATCAGAGGAGGACTTAGAGCGTGGAGATGCTGTCTCAGGCTAGCTGAGGGCTGCGCTTAAAGGGTCCCGACCCCCACCCCGGACAGAGAGTTCTAAGGGGTGCCCCGCTTGCAAAGCAGTCCTGGCTTGGATTGCCCGGAGTACCCACACTGGGCACATCACACCACTCGGCCATCAGCCCGGCTGCACTTGCCGCAGGCTGCCATCTGGGGAGAGGGGGCAATCAGGGGGCTGCAGGAGAGCTTCCACCCCCAGAAGCCCGCAGAGCCAGCCCAGTCCTCCCCATCGGGGGCTCGTACCCCATTCCTCCCTCACCTCCTTCCACTTACCCTTCCCTAGCCCCCCTTTTTATTGATGTACAAAATAAAGATAACGTTTCTTCCAACATTGACTCTGTCTTTATTGAACAAAACTGGGGGAGACTGGGAAAAGGAGGTGGGAGAGGGGAAGAGACAGGCTGGGAGAGGGGAGGGCAACTAACATGATCAGGGGTTGGGAACAGGTCCCAGATGAAGAGAGGCTACAGAGACTGGGACTGTTCAGCTTAGAAAAGAGGAGACGGAGGGGGAACAGGATAGAGGTCTCTAAAAGCAGGGGTTGGGTGGAGAGGGTGCATACAGAAAAGTTCTTCATGAGTTCCCCTAAAGAAGGACTAGAGGACACCAAAGGAAAGGAATAGGTAGCAGGCTTGAAACTAGTAAGAGAAAGTTCTTCAGAAAGCAAATAGTTAACCTGCGGAACTCCTTGCTGCAGGAGGCTGTGAAGGCTACAACTAGAACAGAGTTTAAAGAGAAGTGAGATCAATTCATGGAGGTTGGGTCCATGGAGTGGTCTTAGCCAGGGGGTAGGAGTGGTGTCCCTGCCCAAAGTTTGTGGAAGGGTGGAGAGGGATGGCACGAGACAAATGGCTTGGTCACTGTCTTCGGTCCATCCCCTCCAGGGTCCCTAGGGTTGGCCGCTGTCGGCAGACAGGCTACTGGGCTAGATGGACCTTTGGTCTGACCCAGGACGGCCATTGTAAGCTCAGGGCTCAGGGTCGGGGGTCTCCGTGGACCCCCTTGATTTTCATGCACACCTGCTCCTGGGTGGCCAGGCTGGCAGCTCTCCTGCCCTAGACGGCCACTTTCCTGTGCCTAGTGCGGAGATCGTGGACAAGGTCCACGATGTCTGCACTAGCCCAGGAAGGTGCCTGCCTCTTGCGGTCCAGGGAAAGCTCCCGGGAGCCGCCAGCCTGATCCCGGGAAGAGGGGGTGGGCTGGGGGGCATCGGGTGGCTGGCTCGAGCCGTGTCAGGTGCAGGGTCTGCTGGCTGGGGGCTGGCAGGCTTGCACCTAGCACGGGCACCGTAGCCAGCCCGTGCCCCTTTAAGGGGTCCGGGGCCGGGAGGGGGGCAGACGAGTTTCCCTGGTGTTGGCCAGAGTGGCCACCAGGGAAACCTGGGGAGGGCTAGCCTCCCACTAGTTCAAATTAAGGGGCTACACACCCCTTAATTCGAACTAGTAAGTTCGAACTAGGCTTAATCCTCGTAAAATGAGGTTTTCCTAGTTCGAACTAAGCGCTCCGCTAGTTCGATTCAAATTCGAACTAGCGGAGCGCTAGTGTAGCGGCTATGAATGTTAGTTCGAACTAACGTCCGTTAGTTCGAACTAACATTGTAGTGTAGACATACCCTAAATGTTTTTAAGCTGTCTTGTGGACATGAGGATAAGAGTTCCAGCTTCGGAGATTTCAATAAAAACATGTAACCTCCGTCTAGCCTACGGTTTCCAATTACTCCATTGTCTCCCTCCCTTTTTTCACATGCTGAACTGTATGAGCATCTGAGTCTTCCTCGGCCAGCCCCCAAGAACCGCTGCCTCTCACTGGAACCACCTTTCAGGTTTCATTTAGAACCACTCTCTTCCCACTGAACACTCTCATCTGTGGACAATTTACTAATTGCACCTTTGAATACCATGGATGGGGAGCCACCAGGTTAAACACAGCCACTGCCATGTTTCATGTCTGAACAAGCAGGGACTAGAGGGGAAGGAGGTGACAGCAGGATGCCAAGGTGGCTGCTGGCTCTGTCAGAGAGACATGGACAACCCCCCTGAGAGCCTGCTGTGTCCCACATTCCCGAGGGCACGCCCCCACAGTCCAGGCTCTGGCCCTCTCTGGTAGGGTTGCCAGATGGTTTAACGAAAAATACCGAACACCGCTCCTCCTCCCCCAAAAAATAACACCTGGAAAAAATTCTGTTGAGCTGGGGGAAAAAAGCAAAAGTTGCACCACTCCCTCCAGTTTGGGGCCACACACTAACTCCCAATGCACCCACCCCTCCCCCAGAGCCAGGCTCCCTTAGTACTCCTCATCCCAATGCATTCACCCCTGCCTCAGACCCAGGCCACCCACAGCGTCCCCCATCGCAGTGCACTCACCTCTCCCCCTGAGCCAGGCATCCCCAGCACCGGGAGCACCCCGCCCCAATCAAATCCTCATCCCCCCTGCAGAGCCAGGCACCAGAGAAACGGGATGGCTGGGTAAGTTAATCTTACTTTTAAAGTCGTTGCTCCTGCCGCCTGGCCCAGCTGCCTCGGCTCACATTGTGTAGAGGGAGGCACCACATGGCCAGCTCCTGGGTCTCTGCTGGTTACATGGGCCAGAGCAGCGTGCACTTTGCTCCCACTCCAGCCCGGCGCCCCCTTAGAGTGGTGCCCGGCAAGTGCCCTCTCCTGCCCCCCTTCACTACGACTCCCCCACCCCCGCCAGACGTGGCAGGGGAAAATTGTCCCCGCTGGGCTTCCATCCGAGGGAAACAGGAAATACTGTTCATTTCACATGTCCGGTATTTTCTGGATTTCTTTACCAGACGGAGCCTGCAAATACTGGATTGTCCAGGTAAATACCGGACACCTGGCAACCCTACTCTCCGGGGGCTATGGACGGTACTAAGACCACCCCATACCAAGCCAGGTGGCAGTTCCCACTTCCCCCCTACCCTCATGCAAAGCAAGGTGGTGCTGTGTGAGTGCTAAGGTCCGGGGGGCAGCGCCCCCTCCACAGGCTGGGCTGCACCTTGCCGAAGTGCACAGCCCAATAGATGGGCAGAGGGGGGCGCACTCTGCAGCGCGCGCAGAGGACGGGCAGGTCCCGGTTGCACCAGGTGTGGTGCAGGGGGAAGTGCAGGGTTAGCAGCTCCTTGCTTGAGAATCCCATCTCCGGGCCGATGCCCAGCAACATGGTGACCAGAGGTGTGCAGGAACAACAGGCTCAACTGCACGCTGCGAGCACAAAGAGCGAAGTGAGGTGGAAAGCCTCGCCTGAGGCATGGGGACATAGACAAGCCCCCATGACAGCCTGCTGTTTCCCACATTGCATGGCGGGGGAGACCTGAGCTCGAGTCGCAGACCACTTGGTCCGTGGACCGCACTTTGAGTACCATTGCTCAATATGAATAGGTGATCAGCAGCCACCTTCTCCTTACACTTTAAATATATCTTATTTACTGTATATTTTAGAAATTTGAATCTGTTGTCCATCTGTGAGTCAGTTTGTTCAAGAACTCCTCCTAAATGGTAAGAGCTAGGACTACCAAATTTGGAATGCAGCTTCCTCTTATCATAACTTAAATCAAGATTAGTGTTTGATTTTGCAGGGATAATAGGATGTGCATGGAATGAGATTGTTTCGCATCAAAGAGAAAGGGAGGGGTGTGATAGCAGGGACAGTTATACTCACCAATGACCACAAGGGAGCAGTAATCACCCCTAATGAGCAATCGCTGGCTGGCAGCGTGGCCACTACCACCCAAGCCTGTCCCGGGAAGCAGCTGTCAGCTGCTGCGTGACCCCTGCCACCTTGGGCTGGCCCCAGCGAGTGCCAGCTGGTAGCCTGAGCAGCTCCACCCCACCCCGGACCTAACCAGGATGAAGCTGGAGGGTGGGGTGCATGCCTCTCCCCCTCCCAGCCCTGGGCCAGTCCCAAACCCAGGTAATGCTGGGTAAGTCTTACTTCGTTTGTAAGTCCAACAAATTGGCATAAGAAAGACTGAAAGAAGTTGTTTTAAGCAACTGGTTTTAATTCTGTAAATTTGTCCCTTTTGGACCAATCTAGTCAGAGAGAAGTAATCACACTCTTGAAAAAGCTTTACAAACCTTTGCACTTGGGATAAATGTGCTTGGTACTAAAGGACTGAGAATTGTTGATCCATAAGTAAATGTAATGAGACCTCTAGGTAATTTGCATTGGTCTTTGATATAACTACTGAGCCTCAACTCTGCTCTGTGATAATTGCTTGCATGACCATATTGTGTTGTAATACACACACCTGGTTGTGTCTGCTTTTGAGTGGGCAAGTGTTGATTATTTATATGACTGTGTTTCTGGTGAATTAATACATTGTTGATCAGTTACAAATATGTAAGTGAACAGTACTTCTCAAAACAAGATTAGCGTCAAGTTGACCTGAAAAGAACCCAGTGTTAAACTACAGGTTGAATCTCCCTGGTCCAGCACCCTTGGGACCTGACCTATCCAGAACCAGGGAATTTGCTAGACCTGGGGAAGTCAATGCCAGCCCCTCTGCTGCTGGCCGAGGTTCCTGCTCCCATCTACAGGGCTCTGCTCCTGGCCTTCGGGCTCTGCAGTCACTCCTCGTCTCCCTCCCAAGAATGCTCATCCCTGCTCCTTGCCCTCCCTCCCTGAGCATGAACACTGCCAATCAGTTGTGGCACTCTGGAAGCTCTGGGAGAATGGGGAAGGAGTTGCTAAATACGGGGCCAGCAGTGAGCAGGGGTCAAGGGAGAGGGGGGAGTTTGTCACTGTTTTTTTCCCATGAAGTGCTCCAACTGTGGGGTATCCATTGGGTCACTGACAATGCTGGACCAGGGATGTTGCTGGACGAGGGAATCCCAGATTATACAGATTCAGCCTATAGTAAGATAATGTTCCCTGGACTCAATGAAAAGGGGTTATGTTACTGGATTCTATTCCATATCGGTAAACCTAGTTTGTAGATGTCAGCTTTAAAAATCTATGACATTCTGGCAAATTCATAAGCTGACCCCCTTTCACACTTAATAGTAAAATACATTTTTTTCTTTTATGTTGGTCAGAGGGATTACCTGACACTCTCCATATTGGGCCCAACCGAACTCTCACTGACTTCCAAAGTAGTGAGCTCCAGGCCACTGTTTTCATTCTTCTCAGTGGGATCCTCTTTCTCCTTAATGTCATGCTCAGAAGACAGATGGTTCTTTTCATCTGTTATCAAAATACATTCCTTGGCATTACTCCATCTACCTGGCTTACTTAGGTTTAACATATTAATAGCTCAGAAATCAATAATGCTACTTAGCATCTGCAAAGTGCTTTCCATGTTCAAAGAACTGTATGGATACTAAATAATTAATCATCACATTACTCCTATCAGGTAGTTAAGACAAACGGTAGTAGGTTACAAATAGAGAAACTGAGGCAATGAGGTAAAATGATTTGGCCAAGATCCAACAGTGAGTTGGTGGCAGAGCCAAGATTAGAATTTAGTGGCTCCTGACTCTTAACCCTGTATTTGTTTTTCAAGACCACAGTGATCTGTAACTTTAATTTATCCATGAGATACTAAATTTTGCATTATAAGTTGTTCAGAAAAGTAAAATGACATTTTTACTACAAACTTAAAGAGGGGGTGAACAACACACAAAACTTAGAGATGACAATTAATTAGGAGATACTGCTATCACCAAAAACCAAAAAGAAATAAAAGTTACTTAGAAGGGTTAAAAAATGATTATGAAATAATGAACAAGTCTCAGTCGGAAAAAAATTATGACACTATATGAGGGGATTAATAATCTAAAACAGGTTATTTGATTTATTTTCAAATTCTTGAGTAATCTCTCACACAGTCAGAACGGACATCTTGTATTTTTCTTTCTGAGTAGAACTGTAGTCTGTACCTTAATTATAGTATTTTAGTATGTTCAAAACCTTCTTCTATATTCATTACTATTAAGTCCATACTTCTATTATTACAGCATGCCCTGTAGATTTCATTATTTCTCAAAGTGTGTCGTCTTAGAAATGAACATAGTATTCTGATAACTCAATCTATGGTGCTAAACAAAAGTAAGGCTTCTAACTAACTACAAGTGATATTTTTTCAGTGGCATCAAAAAGACTGTCATGGTTGGATTTATTATTTTACCCATACAGATATTCCTATTTCAGGGCCTGATCCAAAGCCCATTAAAATCAGTGGAAAGACTCCAATATGTTGTCGTCCTTTATACCCAGCATCTTTTCTGCAGCTACTATTATACCAATTTTTGGCAAACAACCATTGTTGCTGATCCATTTAAAATTAGTTCTAAATGAAAACTGCCTGTGACAAGTTCCCGTAAGGGAGTCCGGGCCAGACACCAGGCGCGCTGGGTGACATAATGCTCCAGGGTCTCCGTCCGCTTCTCCTCCCCGGCCCTTGCGCTACTCTCCCTCGCTGCCCCCTCCCCCGTGCGATCGCTGGCTGTACGCACCGGTGCAGTGGCCAGTCTTGTCTCCGTCGCTTGCTCCCCGCACAGGGATTTGGCACCGTCCCCAGTGCAGGGCGCCGCTGCCCCATCACACTACCCTTCCAAAGTAACCAGCCCATAAAAAATGTCACTAAATATACTTACCACAATGGCTTGGCTTTTGGTCAGAACTACCTTCCAATGATTTACTAGTTTCATATTCATCAGCCTGTAAAAGTTTTCCTTCTTCAGCTGATTTCCATATGAAATCGGCACTTACAATGGGAAGCTGATGCTTCTGGATAGTTTTCAGATGATAAGAGCTGAGTGAAGCAACATTATCCACAATGACATGGGTACACTGAAAACAAGGTTAAAAATCACACTCATTATGCAGATACAAAAATAAGTAGCTACTGCAGATTTAGTTTGTTTACTCAATAGTCATTTCATATTTGTAAATAATATAAGAATAGTGAATTACTTAACTCTAAAAGACAACATATTAAGATAAAATTTCACAAGTTATTTTTTGGTTCTTAAGTAATTGATATGATTAGATGTTGCCATCTGTCCATACTATAGAGGTGTGGTAACGTGCTGTGGGAGATTCTGAGTTGACAATACAAGATGATCTGTCTCATCTGTTGAATACTTTTGCTGCAACTAGACTCAGTACTCTTCTCTTTTTGTTCTAAACCCACATGCACTTTTAAACAGTTGCCATCAAACTGATGCATTGCAAGGGAAGGGATTATGTGTGTATGTTGTATTCCTAATATACTTCCCTTTAAACAATTCCTTGTCACCTCTTTCTATTATACATAATTTAAACAGTAGGTTCCTGAAAGCTGGGACCTGTTATTTTTTAAATGTTTGTAAAGTGGCACTCATTCCTATGGAGTAGTATAAATAATAGTAAGGTTTAAACAATTTGTTCAACACTCCATACAGTGAAGTCATGTATGAGCTAAGGAAAGCATCCATATCTCTGAAACATCTTTCTTCCCTAATTAGAAACCACATTTGCAGTTTCAATCAGAAAAAAACAAGAAGTAAAACACATAAAGATCAAACCACCTTCTCTCCCAGGTCAAAACTGAGGCACACCAATATGGACTCTTGGCATGGTTCACTACTTCTGTGCATAAAAAATATCTTCATCTTCCAGGTCTTAAATCCATAATGTTCTGTTTATCTTCATTTCCCACTGAATTCAGTGCTAAGCCCATCCTGGGATCAGGTACCTGGCATTATTTCCACTGTACATTTAATGTGCATTTAAATGTGCATTGCAAATAAAAAACTACAATATAATTGCCTTCTTTCTGGCATCCATCTGCTCTCACACCCAAACTTTGCTAAAGAGCCCTACAAAACATGGAAACTAGGTAAAATTACAAAGGATAAATAAAAACAAACTATACAAGTCTGTAGGAACAAAATTAGAAAGGCCAAGGCACAAATACAGATTAAATGGAGCTACTATATGGTGGGTGCATAAGTGGATGGAAAACTATTCCCAGAGAGTATTTATCAGTGGTTCACAGCCAGGCTGGCAGGGCAGAGAGAGTAGGGTCCTGCAAAGATTAGTTCTGGGTCCAGTATTGTTTAGTATTTTCATAAATGATTTAGATAATAGCATAGAAAGTATGCTCATAACGTTTGTGGACGATACCAAGCTGAGGTTCCAACAGCTATGGAGTACAGAATTAAAATTCAAATTGATTTGGACAAACTGGAGAAATGGTCTAAAGTAAATAAGATGAAATTAAGGACAAATGCAAAGCACACGTACAAAATGGGAAATGGCCATATAAAAATGAGTACTGTGGAAAGTATTTGGGGATTATAGTGGATCACAAGCTAAATATGAGTCACCATTTTGCAAGTTAAGTTCACATCATTCTGAGATATATTAACAGGAAGGTGGTAAGCAAGTAATTCTTCCATTCTACTCTGCACTAATGATGCCTCATCTGGAGTACTGTGGCCAGTTGTGGGTGCCACATTTCAAGAAAGATGTGACAAATTGAACAAAAAATTCAGAGAGATCAACAAAAATGGTCAAAGATCTAGCAAACATGACCCACGAGGAAAGATTAAAAATTGAGTTTGTTTAGTCTGAAGAAGACTGGGGCGAGGAGGTGAGAGAAGCACTAGATAACAGTTTTCAAGTACTTAAAATGTTGTTATGAGGAGGATGAAAAATTGTTCTCCTTAACCTCTGAGGATAGGACAAGAAGCAATGGTCTTTAATTGCAGCAAGGGAGGTTTAGGTTGGACATTAGAAAAAATTTCCTGTCAGGGTGCCTAGGGAGGTTATGAAATCTTCCTCATTGTATGTTTTTAAGAACAGGTTAGATCAATACCTGTCATTAATGATCTAGTTATTACAGAATCCTGCCTTATGTGCAGGAGACTGACTTAGATGACCTCTCAAGATTCATTCCAGTCCTACGCTTCTATGATTTTATAATAACCCAAACAAAAATTCAGCTAATGCCTAATGCAAGACCTGTCACAATGTGCAATACCTTGGTGATAAGAAAAATAATGGCCTGGTAATTTTTTCCTGGAAAAAGACTGCCATAAAAATGATATAGAACAAAGTAAAGACATTCTGGTCCGTTTGTGAACAGGAAGGATATCGTTCTTAATTGTTATGTGACACCTAATGATTATATAATAGATGCATTACAACTGCACTGATAAATAGATTTATTTATATTAAAATGTTTACCTGGAGGCTCTCTCATTCACACACTTTCTACACCATTTAATCTTTTTCAGTGTTCATATTACCTGTTATTTTCCCATTAGAGCACACACACAAAAAAGAAAATAAAAGAAATATACCTCATGATTTAGCATAAAATAAATTAGTCCACCATTTTCTTTAATGCACGTTCTCAATCTGTTCTTTTCCTGAATGGGTAAATGTTTCACTTTAAGAAAGAACACACAGTTTGCAAAGATCGCCACAGTCATCCTATTAAAAAACAAAACAAAGTTTTAATTAAAAACAACTTCCAAAATTTGCTTGCATTCCATAGCCCACCCAAGTGACCTATTACTAAACATTACAGCCTTGTCTACACTAGAAACATTTAAAAAAGATTCCACTGAAAAAAGGCCAACTCTGAATAGACTTTAACTAGGACTGTTGATTAATAGCAGTTAACTCAGGATTAAATAAAAAAATTGTGATTAAAAATAATCACAATTAATTGAAGGCTAAGGAGGTTGGTGAGGTGACAAGTTTTGCCCATGAACAAGAACAAAGGACTGAGGTAGGGTTGCTAAATTTGGGCTGCTAGAAGGAGAAGACACTTCTGGACTGCAACTCAAGGGGGTCAGAGAGGAATCTGGCTTGGTCTGATCAAGATGGACTTTGTTCTGAATTCTATTCTTGGTGATAATTAAGAACGTCTAATAAACCCTTCTGTTTTTACTATGCTGGCTGAGAGTCACTCCAGAGTTAGGCAGGTCAGGGTGCACTGCTTCCTTGGGTGTTTAAGTCTTCCTGAGTATCCAGTTCAGGGGGACTTGCTGAGGGGAGCAGATAGCTGCTGAAGGTTCTGAGATTCAATCCCAGGAGGTGATGAAGGCAAGAGGCTTAGCTCAGTGAAAGAATCTGACCCTGAGGGGGTTGACACATGGAAGGGGTCATCCCAGGCGCTGTTCCAGAGCTGCTTGAGAATGCTGTTCCTGTGGCTCTGTGACAAATGCATACAGTTGCTGGAAATGTATATAAGATTATTATAATGGAGATTGCCTATCTCCTAGAACTGGAAGGGACCTTGAAAGGTCATCAAGTCCAGTCCCCTGCCTTCAAAGCAGGACCAAGTACCATCACTGATGAATTTTTGCCCCAAATGGCTTCTACAAGGATTGAACTCACAACCCTGCGTTTAACAGGCCAATGCTCAAACCACTGAGCTATCCCTTCCCCATGAAATAAAGAATTTTTAGAGCTCTGCAAATCTGCAGATATCCGCTTTATATCCAAGGACCATGTTTGCAGATCACTGATTAGATGCAGATACAAATTTTGTATCCCCAGAGAGCTCTATGAATTTTCATGTAATGCTGTTGTGTCTGGAAGGGACTGTCTACACTACAGTGTTATTTCAAACTAATTTCAAAATAATTATTTCAAAATATTTCTTATTATGAAATAACGTGTCTACACACAAAATGCAGTTTGAAATAGCATTTTGCTATTTCGAAATAGTGAGTTCACCTAGACTGAATGGTGAATTGCATTTAAGGTTGCTTGGAACCGGTTCTGGCAGGGCATCAGATTAGAAGTTACCTGGTGTGGCTGCTATTTGACGCTATCTGAGGCTTGTGCTTAAAGGGACCCCTCTGAACAGCCGGTTCTTAGGTTTCCCTGCTTGCTTGCCTACTTCACTGAGTGACAGCAAAGCATTTTTTCTCTGTGTGCTCTGGTTGCCCTCACTCAGGACACCACAGCACTCTCCACCATGGAGCCGGAGCTGCCCCAGGCACTCTGCAGCTCTTGGACATGTTGCTGCAAGTCTGGCAGCACTTTCTTTAGGCTGCCTCACAGGCTCTGCAGCAACCCAACCCCCAGGCCTTCTTCCAGACCCTTCTGGGGTATGTGGCGGAGCGGCTGCAGGACCTGGACACTGGCATGCCCTGGCCGCATCTGGCGTCTGGACACCAGTGCCGATTGGTAGGACTATATAGTCTTACTCCCGCCCTCCAGACTCCTTGGCCTCAACCTGAAGTCCCCTCCTGCACCCCAAATGTCTCATCTCCAGCCCCTGCCCTGAGGTGACGGGACACGCGCATGAGGCCCGCCATTCCCCTCCAGAAGTGCTCTTATTGACTAATCAAATAGTCGATGCAAACTGTATCAACTATTCGATTAGCCAAATAATTGAAATTTTACATCCCTACTCTCCATCACCACCTGCTTACTGCTTCTGCCAGCTTGTGGTGGATTTGACTCTGGGCCAAACTTCATGATTTTAGCTCTCGGTGATTTCAGTTCTTGACCCAAAGTACTGTCCAGCCATAAGAAATTCCAGCATTCACTGGAGTAAATTTAAATAATAAAAGAGACTCCTTATGGAGCTTATCTTTAGCTCTATTATTGAAACAGTGGGGAGAAACAGGTTGAACCAGTCTTATAGCTCATGCCTGGAAGACATATAGCCTGGTGAGACTCAGAGTCCTGCCCTTAGCTTAACCTCATAGGGCTCTGGAAGTGGAACCTTTGTCCATCCAAGTTTCTTTACACTGACAGTGTTTCTCTCCTTTGTGCCAGATTACGCACAGACTTTCTTCTTTTGTATTCGCACAATAATTACAGATATTGCAATTAGTATTAACACAATTTGTGATCCAACACCAGTCAAGTTGATTACAATGAACAAAACACTATTCTATCATCTAACTATCTAACAAATCTAAGCAAACCAGAGGCAAACTATTTACACAGACACACCCAGGGTTTCTCTCCCATTCCAGCTGGCTGTAACAGAAGCATTCATTCAGACCTTGCTTACATCTAATAGTATGAGAAATGCTGGCAGTGAAGTATAGTATAGAGTGGAGACAGCTTGCTACCCCCCATGTAATAACCATAACCCTTAGGGGGGTCATGTCCCCTAGTTCTGAGAACCCCTGCACCACAAGAACAGTAGTACAATCTCTTTGTCAAGGAAGATGAATTTACAAATGTAGAATTATGTACAAAAATAAAGGGGGGGTGGGAGGAGAATCAGCTGTCCAGGGTCATTAGTTGCTAGGTACCAAATGGCTGGGTAAATCCCAGGCCCTAGCTAGCGCTGCATCAGTCATACTTGAATCTCTAGATCTATGCAAGGAGTAAAACAATCTTTGTCCAGCACCTAATTAACTATATAAACAACGAGATGTCCTGTGGCACCTTATAGACTAACAGATTTATTGGAGCATATGCTTTCATGGGCAAAGACCCACTTCATCTGATGCATCTGATAAAGTGGGTCTTTGTCCATGAAAGCATATGCTCCAATAAATCTATTAGTCTATAAGGTGCCACAGGACTTCTCACTGTTTATGCAGAGTCAGACTAACACGGCTACCCCTCTGATACTAATAAACTATGTTACAGATTGAAGAAACAGAAACACAAAAATATTATGAAAAATTCCTATTTTGTCACATTACACACAAAACCTACAATATGTTTGCAAAGTCAAGCTCTCAGAAGTTAGGAAATACCTTTTTTCTCTTTTTTTCCTCTCCCCCGCCTTCCCTTATTTATTCTTGAATCTGGACTTCTAATACTGCAGTCATCTGAAGAAGTGGGTTGCCTCCACCAAAGCTCATGATACTATCTACATATTTTGTTAGTCTTTAAGATTGCCTACTAGTCTATTTGTTGTTTTTTTAAGTTTTTCCGGGTACAGACTAACCCGGCTATTCCCCCTGAAGCATTATTTCTAGAGTTTAAAGTTAATGAAAATCATTACAAATCTCAGTCTAGGACACAGATCTGATCCTCCAATTCAAGAAACAATCCAAACAGATGGCAATAATTCCCAGAAAAGCACCATAAAGGGCATTCCATATCACACTTTTTCTGTTGATCTAAGTACTGCTTAACTAGAGAAGGGAGAACGATCTTAAGAGCGATCAGCCCTGAATACAGTCAACAGTGAGCTGAGGGGGAGGTGCAAATCCCGTGGGAGGAAAGATTTCACTTTCACTCACTTTTCCCCCGGTTTGTCTGCAACTTAAATAAGAAACACAACGCAATAGAAGTAAAGAAGCACCCGTGTCCACGTCTAGCCTACAACGTAGTGTAGAGAGTGACACAAACTGGGTACACTCACTTGTTGGGAGCAAGCTCCCTGTCCAGAGGGATCTTCCGGTATCTGCAAAAATGAGTGGGAGACAAGGCTGCGTACAACGACTGGAGGGCGTGGAATGTTCTGTTCTAAGGCTAGGGAAACGCCCGTCCAAACGCCACAAAAGACAGCACTGACTGAGAAACAGATGATCAACAGCACTGCACAAGCGACAGGTTCTCCCACTAGCGCAGCTAGGAGCCGCAACCATCTGCACCCGGAATGGCGACGATAGTGCAAGTGAATTCGTCTGGGGACTTTTCGTGATTAGGAAACTGAATCCAGCCCTGGGCGGGCCTTCCCCTGCTTCACCTCTGAAGAATAGAGGGGGGAGGGAGGGACAACTGGGGCTGAGTTTTCAGCCGCCGTTTCTTCGCCCTGATCCTCCAGGACAAGTGACCGCTTGTTGACTTTATTATCTCTTTAAAACTAATACAACGAATAATAGTGTCACTTATAAGCCGATTATGTCAATCAAGCACCTTTATTTGGGGATCAGCTTGCTATTAAGGATCGGCACAAAAGACTTTGCATTTTAATTCCACATGCACATTTCCAACATCAGCCTAATTTGACCAGGTATTTTACCTGCTATAGGATCTGAGTTTAACTTGTGCTCTTTTGCCAAATGTTAGTGAAGCGTTTGCCTTCATTTTTGGAGCTACAAAGCTTCACATTAGGGGTCCATCCGCACAAGGCAAGTAACTCATTGATAACAATGGTTATCAGCAACGAGCCTGACACCGAACTAATCACCTCTCAACTGAAGTTGAAAACTATTTGTTTGCTAGATAGCGCAGTTTCCCCCAGAACTGTTTTGAAAAAGGTATTAAACTGTTTTCAACACCAGAAGAGGCAAATGAGGGAACGTGTGAGAATGGAAACAGATGTTGCCGACAATCGTTGGTTTTAATCCTGCAATCTAAATCCGTGTTGGGGGGAGTCCACAGAGCCCTATTAATCTCAGTGGGATTTCATGAGGACACAGAGATCAAACTGCATGATTGGAGTCACTGTTATCAATACTGTTTGTTTTGTTTTTAGCATATATGAAAGTCAAAGAGAAATTTTTAATGTCTAAAAACACAGATCATGCAATTTTGGAGGACCACAGAGTTTTCATTAGGAACAAATACTGAAAAAATATTACTACAACAATTTATTTAAAATAGAGGATCCTAAAATTCAGTGGTTTTAAAAGAGGATAGACAAAGTAAATGTGGAAGTTCTTGCCTTTTACTACACCATGAGTGGTACAGTGTATCATTATGCAAGATGGGGGACAGTAATTTAGGAAAGATGTAGGACTGTAACGGAAGAATAAAGAAAGGTTTACAACAGGTACCACTTGCTGATAGTGGGATGGATGCAGAATTCTCTCCGAAACAGCTCCGGTCAGCCCTCCTCCTTTCCTATTTTGGAAAACAGCAGCGCAGCCCCTTTGCAGCTCCCAACTGTTCTTCTGTCTCACACACCCAGAGATAAAGCAGCAGCAGTTCCTAACTGTTCCCTCCCTTTTACCTCTCCCTACCCCAAGCAGCACTCGCATGCCCTATGCTTCTCTCCAGTTTTAGTCTCTGTTTAGGAGGGAACAGATTTGGAACACAATTCCAGATATTGAATTATGAGATAGTGAGGTTTACAACAATATTAGCAACAAGCAACAAATTCAAGAGCTGCACCTAGCTCATGCAAAAGTGATCT